AGAAAGCATAATAATGAGCAAGTACAAATTGAAGTACAAAATCAACACATAACATTCATTGTAATACAACACATACTTTCATGAATATTCACCCATCAAATTATCAATGACAATATGATGCAAAATACCGACATGAACTCAATGCATGTGGTACCAAAAGTGTAAAACCCTCTTCGTAATGATTCCATTTGGGCAATCAACTTCGCTCACCAATACATGCCTTCGCTCTCCAATACAGGAATTTGCTTATGAATTTTTGAAGTTCTACTGATTTTTATCGTAGGGTACTCGGCTACCCATATATGGTAACCGGGTATCGGCGGAACAAAAGCAGTTTTTTTGTCATTTTTATGTACAAAACCCATTCCAACATATATCCAAAACCACACTCTTCTCATAACTCGAGAGACGCATTGCTTTTTTCAAAAATTCAGTTTTCAAAACACCGAAATCCCAATTATTTCCATAAAACTATCAAAAATGTCATTCTTCTTATAACTCAGAAGACATATTACGTTGCCAAGACCTCAATTTTCAAAACATCAAGACTTTGATTCTTCTTACAAGACTATTAGTATCTTTGAGATCTGACTCTGACTCGTAATTCACATTCACCCAAAAGCATGAACATCACCCGACAATTACTTACCTGACTCTAACAATAACATTTACAGTACATCATCACTATATCACCATTCAAAATGTCAACATCATACACAATGATAACTTAATACTGACAACTTCACAACCAACCGGTAGTGCTAAAACATTGCAACCGTATGAGATTCACCTTCTAAAAGTCATCCTACATTTCTTAACAGATATCCTCTGGCATAAGAATATGCATCTACTCATCTAAGTAATTCGTAATCACTCGGTTTCACTTCAGACAGTCCACTCCAAGTATAACATCAAGTTAATCCAATATTTCCCTCTAACGACAAGTCACAATTATCCTTTGGGAAACATCAAGACTCACCCATAATGGGCACATCATTAGTCATAACACCACCCTCCACTTCTAGAGATGCGAACAACATGAGTACCTGATGATTCCCCCTTAAGATCACTTTGACCCGACCGCTAGGTATAAATATTGAATTCGTGCTTCCTCAAAGTTGGAAAACAACATAGTAGCACTAGCGTCTGCATCCATGCACTTTACGACATACTAAACCAACTGTTCACACCTGAACTATCTCAGAGACGCACAAGCTTCTCCTACACTTGTTTCATTTCTACTCCTACAGTGTTCCACACACATATTGCATACTAAGGAATAAACAACATTAGACAACTTGGTCGGACGGACTGACCTGCTCTGATACCAATTGTAACACCCTATTTCCCCTTTGTTAATTTATATAATAATCAGAGTAAATTAATTTCTAAATAAACATCAACCAAATAGGATGTCACATAATTCGTCAATCTCACATGCTCGAAATTAGGATACGCAACACAATTCACACGCTCATAAGTCTTAAACTTCAATGCATTTATTCGCAGCAGAAAAACATCGCTAAATAGTCATCTAAATTTTCTCCAACATGAGTCATAATTATTCACTTACATAACATCGACATAATTATAAGGTAAAGCAAAATTAATGGAGTTATACAAGTTTACTTCCAACATGATAAGACAAACGCAAAACCCCTAAGTGTTACGTATTAGAGCAGACCCGACTCAATCTATGTGACTGAAGGAACTCCTAAGCTAAAATTCGAGTGCTAGATACTTCAAATCATCTACACGTTATTCACGTGGAGGTAACATTGAAACAAAAAGGGTGAGATATCATAACAATATAAAAGAACGCATAATAATTAGCAGGTACAGATTGAAGTACAAAACCAGCACATAACATTCATCATAATATAACACATACTTTCATCAATATTCACTCATCTAATTATCAATCACAATATGATGCAAAAGACCGAAACAGACTCAATACATGTGGTACCAACAGGGTAAAACCCTCTTCACAATAATGTCATTTGGGCAATCAACTTCGCTCGTCATATAGGCCTTCACTTATGAATGAATGCAACACTGACATGCAACAACTTAATTTCACATTGATTATTCTTACCTATTAATGCCATGCCAATAGAGGCCTTCGCTCATCATCATTATCATGCATATCACGTGACACCATTAAAACATTCATGCAACATCATCGTATTCACAACTTCACAATTACATCAAAATAGCATAATAAGCCCATACAGACCACCAAGCACATATCATACTACATACATCATCATAATATCGTCACATCAAAAAATATATTCACATTTATTGTCATATTCATAACTTCGCAATCACAACATAAATCGTGGCATATAATTCAAAAACACATTCACATATAGGTATCAATATTGGTGAAATAATTAACTACTGCATTATGAATCATTTTCATAAAATAGAAAATTATTTTATCTTTCCAACCGTCCAAACGGTGCGTCAAACGGACACCCGAGACAAAAGTTATAAGTTTTAGAAGTTTTCCAAAAAATGTTGCCAATAGCAGTGGTAACTGGGTACCCAGTTATGGTAACCAGTTATCGTAGGATAGTAGCCTTGTTTCTTTTTAAAATTCATCACGGTAACCGGTTCCCCGCTTATGGGAACCGGTTACCGCAGGACAGAAGCTACTCATTTTGCAACATTTGATATGGTAACCAGTTACCATATTTAGGTAACCGGTTATCCTGCGATAACAGTGAGAAATCCTGCAATTTCCATGCTACGGCCCTCCATGTTTCAACACCCAAAAATCATAATTTTTAAATCAAAATTCATCTTTATAACAGGTTAATTATTCATCAACATTTATCTACCAATCCAAACCAATTCATATCATTAAATAACATAAAAACACCAAATTCACCAACAATCCATCAACGAGAAAAACCCCAAAAACAACTAATTATGGAGAAATCAAAACATATGATTATACAACCTAAATCCTACCATACCCAATCATTAGGCAAACCCTTATAGAATTAGAATCCCCCTCACCTTAAGTTCTTGGTTGGTTCTTGATCTTTACGTTGAATCCTTGCCCTAGCTTCCTAGTGCTTCTCTTTCTTCTACCTTCTATGCTTTTGTTCTTATTTTACGTACTGAATCTTATTTTTCCTTCTCTCATTCTAATATAGTCTCATAATAATACAACTAACCCAATAATAATTATTTAATTATTATTATACAATAATAATAATTATCCTAACAATATAGTAATAAAATAATAATAATCTATATTATTTCACACACCCCTACGTTTCTACACATTTAGCCAAACACCCCCACACCCTCAACTTCTCTAATTCTAAGACATTTAGTCCCCAACAAGGCATCACACCACGTCATAAAATCCATCAACTCATATAATTACACCGCATCGACTAATTCGCCATAATTCTTATATTCATCAATTATCACCGATAATCATACTAAATTAATTAAATGATTAATCTTGATTTTTGGGGTGTTACACCCAGCGCTAGGCCAAGATCCCCATGGTTGGACTGGACAAACAAGCCAAAAATGGAGACTGTCAGGTCCTACGTGCGTAGTAGGAACCAAAACGTGGTCCCTAACATGGATTGACTCCTCTGAACTATTAGGAAGATATGAATATGGTCTTTTTTGGGCCACGATGACTCCGTCATATTCAGAGGTGTTAAGAGCCAGCCCTACGAGGAGGATGCTCGTGAGGTCATTCTGTCCGTCGTGGAACCTCCACGCCAGTTGTGAGGTCGTCCCAGGGAGACTTGTCTTGATCGACGAGAAGAGTGGAAAATGCTCGTGAGGTCCTTCTGACCGTCGTTGGTCCTCCTCGCCATTCATGGGTTAATCTCCGTAGGACAAAGCCATGTCGACTAGAAGAGTGAGGTTACTGTCCGACATCATCGGAGATAAATTCTGTCAGCAAACTTTCTCATATAACGCAGTTGGATTAAGCCTTGTATGATGTTTGGATCAAGTGCAAGTTCAATCTAGAATAGATGATAATCTAGTTGAAGGAAGAAGAATTTGGAGAACGAAGAACACATTATTTAGGGATTTAGAGATTTAGGATTTCAATAAAAAACTAAATTTGTCAAATAAAAAGGGTTATAAATAATTAATTAATTTAAATTTAAATGAAAAAATTAATTTAATAAGAAACTGATATGCAATAAATAAAAATTTCATATATAAAATGGCTCGCTTTTTTTTGGTCAATTAAATTGATTTTTCTAAAGAATTCAATTTTGTGATTGTATCACCCAACAATAAATATATGTAATAAGATGTGGTTTTCTTTTTTTTCTTCTCATTAAGTATATGTAAAATATTATTGTTTAGATTAAGGGTCAACAATAAATATATGTGATAATATGTCATAAGATGTGGTTCTCTTTTTTTCATTAAGTATATGTAATATTATTGTTTAGATTAAGGGTCCTGTAATTCATTAAGTATATAATTCAACGGCTTAAAGTATCTTCTATGCCATGTGTTATAGGGGATTTAACCTTTTTGGTATGAATTTTAAATATATTTCAATTTTGTCTTTGATTCCACTATTATATTAAAATAATTGATATCCAATTATGTCCAAATTAAGAGAGAAAAATAGATATTAATATTGTATAATATTGTATATATTTGTATATATATTTTGATGCTAATTGGCCGTTTTCTAATAAGAGGAATAAAAAAATGGAAAAGACAACATTGATGCAACAATAGAGAGAAAAAAGAGACATGAATATAGTGGTCAACACCAACAAAGTGATACCAAGTGGCGGTGATTCCAATGAAGACGGTGGAATCTCTAAGGATACAATATTCTATAGTAAACCGTCCACAGTCGCTGTATTTATTATGCTTATAGTCTATATAAATAGATGAGAAAAAACAACCATAGAAGAAAGAAAAATATACCTACAAAATTTAAATATATTGGAAGTGAGAAAACGAGAAAGCAAAAGGCTCAAAACATGGAAGACATATATTCAGCTTACATACTATCTACAGAACACCGTCCCGACTTCTCTACTTTTGTGGAAGTTGATGAAATTCCAGTCATCGACCTTTCAGAAACTAGTCAAGAAAATCTCATCTTAAAGATTGGCAAGGCATGTGAAAAATGGGGATTCTTTCAAATAATCAATCATGGAATTTCCTCTGATCTTATCTTAAAGGTTGAAAAAGAGGCCAAAAAGTTTTTTGAGCTAAGTATGGAGGAAAAAAATACACTGAAAAGAGATGTATTTAATGCAATTGGATATTATGATGCTGAACATACTAAAAAAGCAAAGGATTGGAAAGAAGTTTATGATTTTCTTGCTAAAGATGGAGTACAAATCCCTTGTTCCGATGATCCACATGACTTGGAGCTATGCACTCAAAAAAATCATTGGCCACAATCCCTTCCACATTTTAGGTACTCTTACTTTTATCAAATGATTTAAAAGAATATATATAATGTTCACATAAAATCAAATTTCACATAGTTTAGTTATTAATAATGTTATACTAAAAGTTACTTTTAATGAAAAAAAGGATGCCAGAAAGAACATTATCATGCATATGAATATGATGATTTCATCAATGATCACATAAAATCATGCATATGAATATGATGATTTCATCAATGATCACATAAAATTAAACTCCACGTAATTTCTAAATTAAAGCAACATAAAACCATCATTTTTTTTCTTAGGGAAATAATGGAGGAATATGGTGGGAAATTAGAAAAGCTAGCTTATAAGTTGTTGGAGTTAATTTCATTGAGTTTAGGTTTATCTGGTGACAAATTTCTTGATTGCTTCGAGAACCAACTAAGTCTGACGAGGCTCAATTACTATCCTCCATGCCCTTTTCCTGAATTGGCACTTGGTGTTGGTCCTCACAGAGATCCTTGTGTCTTATCTATAGTTGTACAAGATGATACTGGAGGTTTACAAGTTAAGAAAAATATAATTGGTGGTTGGGTTCCAATCAAGCCTATTCCTGATGCATTTGTTGTCAATTTGGGTGATATTTTTCAGGTGCGTTGTTCCTATAATAGCGTAATGACAACAATTTTAGTATTTGATTAGGACATAAAAAAATTATTTTAAAAATTAGAACATAGAATTATGAATGAATTATTATTATATTGTTAGTAACTTACCCTAGAGTGTAGTGTAGAAAAACATTTTATAATATGGACAATAATATTATACATATATTAAATATCATTTTTAGTCTTCAAAATTATTTTGTTGAAGTAAAACAAAGGTATTTATAGCATTTTCTATCTACAGTTGAAGTTCTATTATCCTCTATTGATGAAGGATGACTGTGAAATATCACGTGACTTGAAAACATGATAAAGATGTTGGCACGATGTGTCACATGACAATTTTCCCCTCTTTTATATTAATAAATTAAATAGAAATATATATGTTGGTAGCTAAATTTGTCGTAAAAAATGAAAAAGACAAATTCATGATAGAAATTAAGAATCTATCATTAAAATCAAGAATTTGTCATTAAAATTGTTGTAAAACATGAAGATTCATTGTAGAAACTCATAATCCGTCATTAAAACTCAGAATCATATTTTTGAGATGTAATTTTGATTTAAGAATTTTTAAATTATTATATTTTATATAATTAGAGTTAATTTTATTATATAAGTTAGATACTAGTCAATTTAATACAAATTTTTAAAATTAAATTTTGATTTTAATATAATAAAAAAATTAATGTTATTATTTTGAAAATAATTATTTGTAAATGAAAGTTGTCGATATTTATAATTTTAATTTAATTTATTTTTGTTTTAAGGATAAATTATGAGTTGTAACAATATATTATGGGTTCAATCATCTTCATCTTCTGCGATATTTTTAATGACGAATTTTAGATTTTATTGATTGGTGTTAGGTTTTTTCTATGAATCTTCGTCTTTTGTAACGATTTTAGTGATTGATTTTGTGTTTTTTATACAAATTTTGAGTATTTGCCATGGATCTATTTTTTTTTTCTTCATTTTTTGCGATGGACTTAGCATTTAATATATCATCCTTAGTTAATTTATTAATAGAAAATGGTCAAAAGTTTCATGTGACACACCATATCATTATCACCATATCATCATTGCAACGATGTCATGTCATGTTTTCTTTTGTAAGGTTTTGAGCAATTTTCCGGTGCTTCTTTTTTTAGTTTTGTTATTGTATCTTTGTTTTGTCTTTTTGGTCTTCAGCATGGCACATCTGATAACTTTTCTTATGTACTCCAATGGTTTTATCCACTTATTTTCTAATATATAATTTACCATTAACAAAATTTTATCTGAGGGATAAGTAATATATTGATTCATTTGTACATTTGTAATGTACTTTAAGATCAAATTAAGTGCCTTGTCTAATTCAATTCCTGAAAATCGATTTATAAGTTATTTTTATCAAAATGGTAAATATAGTTTTTATAAATTTGATACTAGAATAATTACATATAAAACTTAAATTTTAAGTTTTAAAAAAATGAATTAATGATATTTTGGCCATTAATTCAATTTCTTCAATCTTAATGCTGGATGTTTTTGCAGGTTTGGAGCAATGACAAATATGAAAGTGCAGAACACAGGGTAGTGTTAAACTCACAAAAAGAAAGGTTTTCCTATCCATTTTTCCTTTTTCCAAGTCACCATACTATTTTGAAGCCTGCAGAAGAGCTAGTGAGTGAGGAAGTTTCTGCAAAATACAAAGCATACAATTTTGGAAAATATTATGCTAATAGAACCCATGCAGATTTCACCATACAAGAGGTTGAGGGTATAGAAATTCATGATTTCAAAATTTTAGATTAGCTATTAAAAAGTTTTATTTCAATGTTTTAGATTTTTTTGTTAGTTTTCATATCCTTATTCTCTTCAAAGAAAGAAATATTGAGCTCATTTTCAATAAGAACTGCCTGGAGAGCTGCCACGAGAACTGCAACAATGTTTGAGAGATGGAAGGTTTTGTGGAATCGTTGTAAGTTGTGTGTCGCAAAATAAGTTTTTTTTGTAGTGAAACTTGTCCTTGAATTTAAATAAATGTAAGTTTCTTCTTTGTTTTCATTGAATTTAAAATTGATTGCTTCTTCTTAGTTCTAGATTTATTTTAGATGTCATATTACTTAAGTGATTTATATATATTGCACTTTACTATTTTTTTCCTTTATTTATATATTTTATTTTTAGAAGAAAAAAATATTAATAAAGTCAATTTTTTGAAAGATATAAATTTGATTAATATCTCATAGAAAATATTTTAGAGGTATAATTTGATTAATTTCTTACAAAATGTATTTTTGAAAGATGTAATTTATAAAAAAAGTTAATTTTTTATGTTCAACTTTATTACAATGGATATTTATGTAATTATGTTATTCATTCATTATTACAAAATATACATTTAACCTCAGACGCAAAGTTGATTTAGCCTCGGCTACAGAGGTAAGGTAATGAAGGGCATTATAATAATTATCAACTTAACTCTTTGATTTTTTAATAACTGAGGGATAGTTTAAATGGTCATGAATTTAATCCCCAACTGTTGTACTCCAAAATTTGCCCTCTCATTTCATCAACATTTTCTCACCACAAGACTCTTGGAACTCAACATCAAGTTAGGGTTTGCTCTGCTCAAGACTCCTCCTTGCACTGTTGACCCAAATTAGGGTTTGAGTTTGCACAAAGATGTTTTGACCTAAAATGCCCAAAGTGACTTTCATGCTTCATGTTGGACCTACAAGTTTATCCATACCAAGTTTCAAGCCTTGATTCCAATCTTTGCCCAGTCAATTGGACAGTTGACCTAGAAATCAGCTGTATTGGGGAAAAAAGTCAACTGTGACCAATTGACAGTCAAACCTCATGAAATTTGACCCACATCAACATAATGAACTCATATGGACCATTTGATCAAGTTTGGATCACAATTCCACAAGAAATTTGATCAGATCACCAAAAGGGCAAAATAGTCATTTTTAGGGTTTTGACTGCACAAAGGCAATTTTTGACTGTTTGACCTAACCAATAGCAAACCAAGCTCACATATGGACTCAAGGACTCAATGGCATTGTCTTGACACATTCAACAAGTTCAAAAGATCTCAAATGCACAGGATTGACAGATGAATTTTCCAGTCAACTGATCAAAATTTGACTGTATACTGAAAAGTCAAACTTTGACTTTTTGGTCAAAATCAAGTGCAAAGATTCATTTTTCATCAAGACATGTCAAATTATGAAAATTTTTCATCAAGAAATCCAAATTTGCAAATTAGGGTTTAAAATGAGAAAATTTCATAACTTAAAATTTTTCTAAGTTATGAAACTTCCTTATTTTTTCCTAACTTTGTCCCATTTTTTCATCAAGATAAATTTGGATTCAAACAAAACTCAAAACATGAAAGTTGTAGTCCATTGCAAAATCTACAACTTTGATTCACAAAGTTTTCTCAAAGGAGGCTTGTAGCTCAAGTTATGATTTTTGAAACAAGGGTGCAAAACATTCTTAACTTAGAAAATTTAGAAATAAAATTCACAAATTTAATTTTTTATCATTCACCATTTTTTTGTGATGCAATTGCTTGCGATTTACAACATATTTAGAAATAAAATTTTCAATATTGTCAAACGAGGAAACCAATATTGTTTTCTTTGATTGACATCACAAAAATGTTATTCCAAAAATACAATAACAACATCAATACCGTTGAGATATTAATCAAATTTATATCTCATAGAAAATATTTTTGTTCAAGATAGAAGAACACAAAACATTGAAGTTTTTTCTGTCTTTCAATTCATCCCAAACAATGATGCCTACGAGTTTGTAGCGGCTACATATAAGTTAAATTCAAGATAAAATTTATTTAACGAGTGCTTTTATAATAAGGTTTGATTATTTAATCCTTCGATTATTACAGAAATCGAAGGAGTAGATCATTTTATTTTCAAATAAAAATGAAATAAAAATTAAGAAACCACTTTAAAAAAAATTAAAATATAAACTACGTTTTCAAGGATTTGAAACATGTCTTGATATATTTTTCTCCTCAGTTTTATATAGAAACCGAGACAATTAGTGGTATTTATTTAAATAAAAATAAATAAAATATAGTATGCCTATACATTAAATCCCAGATTTTAGTTGAGTGAGGTGAAATCTTTCTCATAAAATACATTATTTATAGTAATGATTATTGAAATTAATAACCTAGAAGAAAAAACAGTATCAATATCATCCAGAGTTAACCTAAATTCTCCAATAACCCAAATTGAGTATCCCCTCAAATCTAAATCAATTTTTCCACTCAAGAAATTGAGTTTTCTACATTTCTTTTTTCCTTTAATCTTAATCTTGGCATTTTATTTTCGTTTTGGCATTTTGCTCTATTTTTTTATTGGGATCCAAATTGCTATTGGCTGTTTAAAAATGGAAAATAAAAATCTCAATACAATAATCTTAATTTAATTTTCTATTGGCCGTTTCAAGTAGTGCCACCCTCTTCTATGCCATCCAAAGAATTCAATAATAAGAAATGGAACGCCGTATCTCTTTGTTGTTGGTTAAAATTCCTATTTTAAAACGTTATTTTGTTATTGGGTGCAATCATAGTATCTAAATGACATCAGGATACAAGTACAATACAATAATCCAAAATAAAGTACATGAACAAATCTAAAATGTCGATACAATGTTATTTCTTTAAAGGATAAAGCCAGATAAATGGATTTGAGGTGTCTTAACCTCCAACTAGTCAATGTTAACATGCTACCTTTACGGTCAATATTCACCAACGAGAGGTAATCTACCAACTAGTACTTACTATGTCAAGTCTGGCTTATACGTTAAATGATTTCTAACTAATCACACTCTCGCTTACAAACTCACATTTACGAGTTAAGCGTAATATTAATCATTCTTTATTCCTATACCATAAAATTGTCTCAATCACATTACGTCAAATTTCAGAGTATGGTCATCGCATGGAGAGTGATTATCACTTTACACCCCTCTAAGGAGTGTAATCATCACATTACGCTCCATTTAGGAGCGTGAACAGATGCACAAACCATCTCACCAAGCCATTATGCTCCGCTAAGGAATGTGAACGAATGCACGTAAACCATGCCATTGCATTATGTCACATTTAAGAGTGTGGGTGGATGTATAGAATCATCTCATTCGTATTACACCTCTTTTAGGAGTGTGAACAAATGCACACAAAATATGTCACCAGATTACCCCCACTTAGGAGTGTGAGGGGATGTATACAATCATCACATTCGTATTATGCCTCTTTTAAGAGTGCGAACAAATGCAAACAAACATCTCACCAAATTACCCCCACTTAAGAGTGTGAGTGGATGTATACAATCATCTAGTTCACATTATGCCTCATTTTGGAGTGCAAATGAATGCACACAAACCATCTCAATGCATTAAGCATAATTTAGGAGAAATAGTGTATTTATATAATCATCTCATTCGCATTACCCCCTATTTAATAGTGCGAACAAATGCACAAACAAATATGAATATACATACTCGAGGATTCACAACTAAGTTCTCCTAAAATCTATTAGGATTCCTCACTTTGTTCATATATTTCTTTCCAACTCATTACACAAGGCACACATACCTTCACAATTTCTTATTTCTCATAAGTGGATTACATGCTATTTCGGTCTCATTTAATTGGAGCCTAACATACAGATAGGGTGAGAGAGGATCCCATTTAAGAAAATTCACTTTTCCCTTAAAACGTGAGTCGAGATAAAACAAATGGCAGTTCGTCTGTCATGAGGCGGAGACTGACAGGTGGCCCGTCACCTTAAATGATAGTCGTCATTTCAACATTGGAATCAGGGGCGCTCATCAAGAGGGCATGACGTCAGTCATTTGGGCTTGAGGGCATAACGGGTATCCCTTTACGAAGGAATATGTCCGTCATATGGTCTTATATTTCATTTTCTTGTTACATTTTCAATTCAAACTAGTCCAACACTCAAGCAAAAATGATCAATCAACGGGATATATACAAAAAATCAAGCCAATAAGGATCTGCATAACATTTCAAATAATGTTCATTGTCATTCAAAATAGTGCAAGGTTAAAAAACACGTATCATCCTTAATCACTTTAATTTAATAAATAAAACTATGTTGTTAATATAGTGAAAGGTTCAAAAACAAAAAAAATTAACCTAGCATGCAAGGCTTAAACATGTAAACCACTCATGATAAAGAACAAGCACACGAGAACTTAAACAAGTAAACATATTCTCACGAATTTCCACCCTCATTCACCTCTAATACAAATATAAACTTGAAATGGAAAGTTGATGATTAAAATGATGGTCACTTGATTCTGCAACTCTCCTCATATAAGCATTGCTATAATCTTTAACAAGTTTATCATGAACACTTTCTCTTCACTTTTCTTCTGATTTCTCAACTCCGTCTCTTCCTCTCTAGCTTCTTTAAGTTATAATATTTAGTGAGAAAGAAATGAGAGAAAAAATAAGTCTCTCTTACTACAATTGACTTAAGAATCCTGCTTCCACGATGACCTAATTGCACTTGTCACATATTCCATAATGCGAAGCACACCACATAAGTTAATTATGCTCATAATTCCTTATTAGTCACTAAATAATCACTTATTAAATTTCTAACTTATTCATTAAAAGACTAGGAAATTGCTTAAGGAATGAGGTTATTACATTGTTTATGAAAACTTCATTGTTTTAAATTCTAAAGTTTTGAGAGATGCATGACCTATATATATATATATATATATATATATATATATAT